CTGAGGTTAGATGTTTGGATTTCTTAGGGTCATTTGAAAATTAGGATGATAAACTATCTCTTAAGTTGTGCTCCTAAGATCTAGGATGCCTGCACTTTAGTTTAAACTTGAAGTGTCCTAAAGTGTCTAATCTCAATTAAGTGTCTTTCCACTAATCCTCAAACATCTATAGATCCAGCTTAGCTTGCTATCAGACTCCTAAAACCTAGGAGTAAACTCATAGTTTTGACAAAAGAATTGTGAGTTGTGCTTCAATCCTAGTTAAAGGAATTGAATTTTAAATTGATTCAAAGCTTAAAGGATCTAAGTGTAAGTCCACTAATCTCTCACATTGTGAGTTGTGCTTCAATCCTAGTTAAAGGATTCAGTTTTGGTCCACTCCACATACATTTTCCAGCTCATAAATATAATTTCCTGTATGTATTTTAATGAGGGGCAACAATAGGGAATAAAAATATAAGCTCAAACATGCTTTCTTTCCATCCCATAAAATAATTTCCAGCATATATTTCATACTTCCAAATATTTCAAGCAACGAAAGTAATAGAGGCAGCCCTCAAACATGCTTTTCCATAGATATTTATAAAGGAATAAAAATGCATTTCTAGACTAATCTTCCAATGCTATCATTTATCATGTATACCAAATGTCTTAAGCATAGAAGAAGAGAAAGCAACCATGGTATGCTATATTTTGATATCCAAGAGGACTATTTCATGCATAAATCACTGGACATACACAAACCATGCTTCTTCTCACTTTTTAAAAAAAAACTGGAAATATTTTTATGTTATCCGAAATAGTGAAAAATAGAGGAGAGGAGAAGAATACCTCTTCTTTTTGTAAACTTAAAGCAAAGAAAGAGTAAAGTAGGCTTGAGAAAATCACTCCAATAGCAACCCATGAAAATTTCTCACGATCTCCAGGTTACGACACGACAAATTCGAGTCTCCAAGATCTTCGAACAGCAAAGGAATAAAGCTTCCTCTCCAACAGGGAAAAACCGAAAAGAAATTATCCTAATCGAATGAAGAATAGAGGTAGAAAAGCATCCGAATCTCCCTAAAATCCCTCAAGAACTCTCTTAAAATTTTTCAACAACCACCAACAGTAGTTTAGGAAGTTATTTTATAGATAGAGAAGAGGAGAAGAAGCAATCTACCAGCCACTCTAGCCAAGGAATCACAAAGAAGAAATGAAACGACACCATAAAGAGGAGAGTGTTCAGCCTCGAGGAAGAGAAGCATCGGCCAGGTGGAATCCCTCGATTGAAGACTCGCTCGGTCAAGCGAAGATCGAAGAGGCGAGCCGCAAATGCGAATGACAGAGGAAAGGAGAAGAAGCTCGGGCTCGGCGAGCCATGACATCGCTCAATCGATCCACGCCCAAACGAAATCGCGGGAGCTAGGGCACGACACACCCGAGCAGCTCTCGGTCGAGGGAGAGGAAAACGAATGCCGCGGGATTGAGTCGAATGCGAGGCCAAAATGTTTGTTTAAGGGAGCGGGTGAAAACCTAAATAAGATTTAGGTTTAATATGAATATGATTTAAGGATACTTATATAAAAGAAAATATTTAATATTTTGAAAAATAAGATTTTAATTTGTTTTTCACCCATGCATCAAAACATAGCAAAATTGATATCATTTTTAGGTAATTTTGAAGTTTCGGACGCGTGGGCGAGGTTTGTTTCGCCACCGGAAGTCGTTTTGACGAATTCATCGATTTGCGTGCCAATTTTCTCGTGTCGAAAATATG